TCCACAGAATCAAGGAATGTGCGAGCCTCTTTTTGTGCAAGGGACGATATTTGTGGGATTTGTGCGTAAAGGCCTTGGCGTGGCGGTAGGTTCGGTCGCCACGCGAATCCAGAAACTTCGAAAACAAAAGAATGTTGTTTTGAAAATTCTCCCGCAAGAATTTTTTCGTGTTTAGAAGTGGAAACAAATTGGGAAAAAAGAGTAGATAAATGGGGATATTGAAGCAGGTTTTCTGATACTGTAAGTGTAATAGGGCCGTGACGATCGTGGCTTGCACAGTAGAATCTGTGGAGCTTTTGGTGATTTTGGGAGGGATTTACGTCGAAGTCGGTAGGTAGGCCTTCGTTGTAAACCTCGAAATAGCGGAGCGTTTCGTATTGTTCGGAGCGTTTGCCGGTGCTGGGGTCGATATATAAGGGTAAACCCATGTATAATTGTTATGGGTAAAGTGTGAGGAATGCGAAAAGAGTTTTGTTTTCTGTTTAAAAATGTATAGGTAAAGACGTGAAAGGACAGGGATAGAACAAGTGAATAGGTGTTACTGCAAACGGTAGGAATATAGGGGAAATGGGGAATCGCGGCGAGTCGGTAATACTTTTTGTTGGTTTTTGCTGTGGCGGGTGTGGTGGGCGAAAAAAGAAAAGGTAAATAATACCCTGTAAAGATATATATAAACGGGGTAAAAAAGAACAACTGGAAATATGGTTGTAATGTTGATAGCTTAAATTCTTGTGAAGATGAGGGGAAAAGCCGTTGGATTCAATGGTGATTCTCTTTAAAAAACGAGCATTTTCAAGGCGGCAAGGGCAAGTCTTTATGCTTAAACGATTTCCTGCATGCCTTAGCGCAAAGTTCAGGCCTTTGCGCTGGAATCGGAGGTCGGGGTTGGCAGTGTCGAATTATAAGGTGGAGAGTATCGATGAAGGTGGGGGCAATAGGCTAGGCTAATGGCTCATTACCAGCAAATGCCGAAAATTGTTATGTAAGATGAGGCAGCCTCCAAGAAGGGGACTGGCTCCCGTTATTTTAACGGCATTTAAATGAACATAAACCTTATATGTTATGTGCCGGAACTTGGCATCGTGCGTTTTTGTCGTTGCGTGCAGTTGTGAAAAAGGTCGTTCCATTACTTACATCTTTGTTTATTAAAATTCGATGCAGTATAAGCCGTGCACCTGTAACACGAACCTACGAACACACAAACTACGAACACACGAACCCACCATATATCTGCTGTAAAAAGGATTCTCCTTAGCATAAAACATTAATTGGCGGCTAAATTTTTATGCGGGAGGATATCTTTTAGCACAAACCCAAGAAGCGAAAGGAGAACCCACGGCATTAACAATTCTAATCTTATAACCTGTAAAAGCCGGGCGACTGCACAAGCCATCCATTTCATAATAACTTTATGTTCTTTGGGCTTAAAAACATGCAGCCGGTAACGATAAATTGTATCGGGTGGGTGACCGAGTCCGTCGCCAATGTGCTAACCTTACAGCATGGTACGTACCACTGCACACTATCTAGTGCCCGATCATTACTGCTAACCAGCATAACCCCCGTGCAAGGCGGTTGGGGGTGAGAAAATGCCCGTGGAAAATTGTGACCCTACCCGCAACGCAAAGCAGCGAAGGTACTTCGCCAGGGAGGGTGACACGTTGTGGAGCTGGGCGCAGCGCCATATTGCCCAATTCGGCTAGGCAATGAAGCGCAAACTTAGACACCCTTGGCAGCACCGACTGCGAAACTTGAGCGCCCTTGGCAGTGCCGACCAGGTCAGCACAGTGGCTAAATGGGCTGGCACCACGAGCGCGGCCAGCGGCCACCCCCTACTTCACCCCTACTTCACCCCTACACCCCTACTTCACCCATACTTCACCCCCCCACATTGGATTTCGCGAGCAGCCATTTTCGCCTGTGCAGTCTTAGTGTGGCCGCGTTTGTTCCAATTGCGGCATAAGGCTAATCGTCGCCAAGGTTAGCCTGGCTGCCCGACGTATTAACTGCATATTTCACCACCCCTTTTGTGATGCCGACCCCCCCGCCGGCCACGCCAACTCCATAGCAGCCAAACTGCTTCGGCCTTTAGTTCACCCACCCTGCCAGCATTTTAACACCCCGATGTAACATTAGGGCCACGGGCGAGAACGTATTATAATCGACCCGGGGTTGGTTGTTACCAGTACTTGACAAACTGCCTTGGGTCGGAATTTTTCTCGATAAAAAAAAAGTGGGCAGCGATCGCCTTGCCGCTCCATATTCTGCCAACGGTCGCGGGTCGAAGGCTGCAGTGTATTGACTTGCCTGTTCCGTTTAAGCCGGTCAGCCGAGTGCTGGGATGCGCTCAGGTGTTCGGTTGCTCCTTTTTCTCGGCTTCGCCGTCCAGGATCTGTGACGGCCCAGGGCAGTTCACCGCACAGCGCAGAGATCCACGTGAGCACGCGCCGCGGAACAGCCCGTGCGATAAAACGCCGCACCACCTTTTCTTCCGCATCGCGTGTTCGGCGCTCCGCGCCCCTTTCCCTTTTCCCTCCCATAGAAGAGTCTTTCGTCCATAGCATCAATTGAACCTGGCTGCGAAGCCTACTCGCCCTGATCGTGACAGGATCCACCCCGTTGTCAGCATACAGTACCTCCTTCGGTACAACGTCTCTAAGGACAACGACTTCGGTAGACGCCCGGCCCAGTCGAGTACGCGTCAGACTACAAGTACAAGGTGAATGGCTTGGCTACGACCTCAAGGATTGCACGTGGCAAACGGTCGAGGACCTGGAGGGAGCAAAGAAGGTGGAGAAGTACGAAACGGATCGCGCCCGCATCGCCGCGCTGAAGTCTGGACGAGAGAGACTACACAAGCACAAGTCTTGATCTCCGAGGACGGAGATAGCTCTTTTGGAGGCCCGGCACTCGTGACCGCACGCAAGGGGAGTGACGTGCTTGGTCACGTGACCTCTTCCTGTATTTACCCCGCCAGGCAGATCCGGCCCTTCGGGCCTTTTTTTCCTTAGAAGAATCTTCAATATCAGCTACAACCATTTGACCCACTGCGTGCTTTTACACCGCCACTTTATAACAAATGGCTACAAAATTTCAATGAAGCCTTGTGTGACGATCTGAGTCAAGGCCCGCAGGCCTTAACCCACAGACGAGAACCCACACGAGGGACCATAATCAAGGCGCGCTGAACGCGCGCCGAACACCGGAATCCCCTCTTTCCTTCCCTTCTCCACTAGATTAGAATCTTCGTTCGTAGCGCCAATTGACTGCAGTCTTCGACCATGGCCGTGACACTTTGAAGGCCAGCTTAGGATAACTCAACCTTTAAAGCTAAAAAAGTATACTAATGACGGTATTTTAATCCTTGGCGACTTTTAAAGCCACAATTTAAAATTCGTAACCGTGACTTAATAAGTTTAACCTTGGCGCATCACGACCTAATCTTTGCCACTGTATCAGCCTTTAATGCTACTTTTGTAATCACCTTTAGTACGTCCTATTCTACTTTCTCTTTTTAACTTGTTTATCTGCCTTCCAACGTTTACCTGTTTAGCCCTAACCGCAAGCTTCAAATGGCATTAAACCGTGCAGGAGTTTTAAAACTTGACTTTTGGGCACTTGTCACTGGCTTTGTGCTGGCTACCGGCTTTGTTTTAGTAGTTAACAGCCTTGTGATGCTTGTTAACACATTTCTTAAAATGATACTTTTAATCTTCAGTGCCATTTGGCTTTACGGCAAGGCTTTGCAAACCGATGTTAAAAAAAACAGCTACATAAAGAATTAAGAAAACGTAAGGGAGCTCCTTTCCGTAAAAGTTAAGGCCAGGCCGGCGGCGCCATGAAATTATGCTTTGTGCGCCAAATGCCTTTAGGCCAATTCTAGCTACCTTCTAGATTTTGCTACATATAAGAGACACTCTAATCACCCCTTCTATTTCGACCGCCCCCTGATCTAGTAGCAACCATGCGCTTTTCCGCTGTTCATACCACCCTTTTTTCCGCCACCACGTCTGCCACCGCCGCCACCAATGCCACGGTCGCGGCCAGGCAGGCGCCGGCCGCGCGTTGCAACTATGGGGACTGGTCGTGCGGGATTAGAGAAAACAATTTCCGGTCAAGCTCAGTCTTTGTTTGCGATAATACCGGCAGGTTGCAGGTGATCGCGAACTGCGGCGGTCCTGACTGCTGCCAGTACGCAAGTAACGTGATACCGTACTGCATTTGCTAAACGATAAAAGAGAATGCATGGTTTTTTATCGGCACGTTAAGCCTACTTAAAACATGAAAAATAAAACCATGTTTACAAACAAGACTTAGTGGCCGGAGAAAAGAAAGCTGTAGTTACTTTGGGGGTGGATAAATTATTTACTTAGCATGTCCTGTTACGGGTTGGTGGCCTCCTTATAAAACCTTGCAGCGGAATTGGTAGGACTTCCTGGTTTGAACGAAAAACAAGCCCTTTAACGTTTATATAGCGTTTATGTTAAGAAATAAATCTTTACGAGGAATCGCATTGATGTTGCGGTACGTCATGTTCCAGTTGATGCCTGCCGAGCTCCTATACCATTTGTTCCTATGCTAATTATACCCTTTGGCCAGTGCGGGCGGTGCGGCTAGCGCGAGATCCGCAGTAGCGGCGACACAATTGCAGTAAGGCTGTGTTTGTCGGTACTTGGGATTGCACAATGTGGACCCCCTTTAGAGATGGGACCGGTAATTAGTTGACTCGACTGTAAACAATTGGCAACTTTCTCTACACCAAATTAGCCGCGCCACCTATTTTTCCCAGTTCACGTGCCAACGCGTTGCTACTTACCGGCACTTTACCAACGATCCCAACAACGGTGGCGAAACATGACGTTACCGCTCTGTCAAGATTGCACGCCAGTACGTGCAGGCTCGGATAAATGGGCAAAAACGCGACCTTTTGGGCCGGAAATGCCCGTCCTATGTGGGGGCGCGTCGGATCTATCCGGTCCTTCAGCGCGCGTCATGGACTGCCCTACTCCTCTGTTCCGAGGCATGTACTGTTGAAATGACAAATGTCACATGCCTCTTGCTAGTGACTAGGAGCACGAGCCACGCCAGGCTGCCCACTGTCACACGGGGATCACCTCTGTGACTAACGGAAGGCCCATTGGGCCAACAAGAGGCCAGTAAGGAGGCCTGGATAAGTCGGCCGGCCACCAAAGAGGAGATCTGTCACGGCCAGCAGGGCCAGTGACGATTAGATAGAAGATTAGATAGAGAAGTGGGCAGGAGGTCCCACTTCTGGAGGCCCGGGCACCCACGAGGTGGGGCACCTCTGCAGGGTTTTCTCTCTGCAGAGGGGCACCGGCCTCCGGCCTCCTCTCACCATCAATATGATAACTTTGATATCTACTACTAATTGGCACCCCTTCATCGGCTTCGACAAGATCCACGAGGCGGCAGCTCTCCTTCGGTCGCGCCGTCACCCGCCCGTTGTTTCCGGGATTCACAAATGTTGCAAAGAAGCGGAGCATACGGTAGACTGGGTACTTGATAAACCGATAATTGACTACTGCCTGCGGTTCAATATCCAGTTGGTCACTTTGCCGGCGCACTCGCCGCACCTAATACAGCCCATGGACGTCGGCGTTTTTTCCCGCTTCAAGAACGAGCACTAGAAGGCTCAGTTTGAGAGAGTGTAAGAGGGTGACATGCGCTTTACTGGCCTCAACTTTGTGATGGCTCTCAACCTAGGGGCCAGTCCGGTTGTAGCGGTTTTCAAGTTTTTTAGCACCACTGCCGGTTTGTGGACCTAAAATAAGCTTATTTTTCGGCGCCCTGGGGCTTGTTTTGTCTGGACATGTATTTTTGGATCTGCTTCGTATAACTACCAAAGTTTGGGGGGGGTGTTGTGGAGTGGCGCGCCTTGCAGGCGGCTGCTCCACTCTAGACCGGGAGGGTCACGTGACTGGTTGAACTGCGTGCAGAAAACTCTGCGACGCGACGGCGGTGCTTTGCACCTTCGTCACCTTTTAACACTACTTTTAGATAGTCGCTTTTCATGTGTCAACTATCGCAGCTTGTCTCTTTGTTTTCCGTGATTCCGTAACAGCGCAACGCTTGCCTCGCAAGGAATCGACGGCGTTCTGCCGGAGCAGCAGCGGATATGTGTCCGGCACCGATACCTTGTTCGGTTGGCGTAGATCCACCACCACTCGGCTCTTTACTTTTCCGCGAGCAACCCGCCAGACCACGAAGCACGGGAAGGCGAACGGCGTTGCATGGTTGACTGGCTCCAAGTGGCCCTGCTGGTTGAGCTTGTCGTGAGTGGTGTCTATCACGTCTTTGTCCTTCCGTGACACCGGATATGGGCGGTTCAAAAGCCTAACTCCCTAGTTCTGCTATCCCTCGACCAAGGGAATACGCATTCGCTCACTTTCGGTCATGTCGATTGGTCCCCGGTCCCGCCAGACGTCGGCATTCTCGCAGATGTTCTTGAAGATGCGTGCCTCCGTCGGGTCCTTGTTGT